TTTAGACTAGTAATAACGTCTTCGGCTTTATCATTTAGAATCCGCACTATCGTTTGAGCACAACAGCAGTGCTTCATAAATTCGTTCCGAAAGTTTGCTTTTTTATTGCGAATGGAAGGTGTTACGTATGGCTACATTACCTAGTAAAAGTTCAAATTCAAACAAGGTACTCTTGTGTCTGAAATGTTTAACTATTTCTAAGTGGACGTCTTTAGCTGATCAGTAATAACTTTTTCATTTCTTTCTTTTTTTGCTAACATTCTACTTCACTTTGATTTATTTATTTCTTACCCTTCTGCAAATGCTACTGCAGTGGTTCAATGACCATTTCTTTGTCGAAAATTTATTTAACGCTTCTTTTTTCGTTAATTTTTTTGGGAGGGAAGAGAGGAAATAGTGCAAAAAGTGTCACCGTGATCAAGCACAAACAGAAACAGTTGTTTTAACACCTTTGTCGTTGATCGTTTTGATTAGATGAGGAGAAAAGAGAGGAAGGAAACATGCAATACTTGGGAAACTTTTTCAGAGTGGATGTAAAATTCATTCTACATGGTTTTCTATAAATGCATTTTTATGAATTGTTAGCAAACATCTGCGTTTTCAGACATTTACACTGATGAAAAAGATTAACTCAGTTATGCTGAGCAATATCAAGATTACTTTCAAAAAGTTTTAAGTGATAATTATGGTAACAAGATTTATTCCGTTAACCAAAAAACGTAGGAATTTCTATTGACCGATAAAACGAGCGGAAGATTTAGAATGTTCAAGAAGAATAGCAGTCTGCTGATTCTTAAATGATTCTTAAAAATGTATTGGCGAGTTAGAAGAGGAAAGTAACGATTGGACTATATTCTTTTTGCTGTCATCAACAGTGGATTTTTTTTCTTTGAAAATGCAGTGTTGAAAAGCTCTTGCAGAGAAGAATGTAGACTGGACTAGAAAAAACTTTTTGGATTAAACAGTGCTGTAACAAAAATTAATGAGCAAAAACAGTTTTGGTTTTTCTTTCCATTGCTAATTCTGCTTCAAAAGAAATTTTTTTATTTAGATTTTTTCAAAAGATCATTTGAAGAGGTCTTGTAAGCCTATAAAAGAACATCAGATTATTTCAATGTCTTCTTATCATTTATATGTAGACAAAAGTTCAAGCGTTATGTGCACCCTAGACTACATATTTGTAAGCCGATGGACGATGTTGATTTAGAATTTGACAGTTGAAAATAATTAGTATGCTTTAGTGCAAACAACTCATTCTGCTCTGACAAACTTTGCCCACTAATAAACTAAAAACGTTTTAGTGTCTCACCTGAAAACTCTACGTTTTAGATAATTATTTCATTGAATAAAGTGGACATGTTTTTTCAGTTATTTTTAATTATATCAAAGCTGTATATGCATGGCTTTCTTTCATGTTTTTATGCATATTTTGAGTATTTTAAAAAGCGGTAGTGTTTAGCAAAATTTTTCGCTAAAAAACAATAGAATAAAATAAAAGACAGATCGCTTGATGCTTTGACTTCACTGTCAGACAAGCGTAGAGAAAACCATAATATTCGTAGTAAAAATAATAAAAAGTTTTGCTACTGCAGGAGTGGGTTGTTTTACACTTTGATAGCGCATTGACAAATAGCCACATTTTAAGAAAAACACGCGTGTAAAGCAATAATTGGTTGACAACATAAAAAACGTAACATTAGGACAGAAAAAATAGCATAACACATACTACATTTTTGATTTTTTTTTTCTACAGTTAATAAGCATCTTGTTTTCTTCTCGTCTTCTTCATCATTGGTGTTTGAATAAACACAAATCTGACATCGTTCTGCCTACCAAATACGTCAAGAACTTTGTCGTCTTCATATGTCTTTCAAGTCAGGTTCATCTGATCAAGAGGAGCAGATAAAACTTAGTAGCCTAGTAAACTGTATTAGAAGCAGCCAATTAAAAGAACATCTTTTATGCACTATCTTCTAGTCCGAAATACAAAAGCTTACTACACCATGTTTACCCGTAAAATAACAGCAATAAGAGTGACCCTACTTTGGCGCATGTTCGTATAGTTCAAATACGGGCAGCAACTATAGAGCTCAAAGCCACCACTGTACCAATATTATGTCAATAAAGGTCCCTAAACAGGCGAAAACAAATTGATTTTTGAAGTTGCTTCGTCTAAGGCTTCTCTCTGCAAGGAACATTTTTTTAGCAGTACAAAACGAGGTCATCGGCAGGACAAAGCACTTCTTATTATACTTCTCATTTCTTAGTTGGAACTGTTTGTAAAGCATTTCCTCTGAAATATTTCTTTCTTTTTTAAAACTCACAAAAGGTCTTCTGTGATGGTGATGACTTCTCTTCTACAGAAAATTTTATAGTTTCTGAATATTTACACTCGTCATCGGCAGCCACAAATTTATTAGACAGTCAAGTCCTGTTTTGTTCAGAAGTTTTAACTAATTTAAATTTTATTCAAAGTAAAAACCTTAAAAAGACCTAAAAGTTTTTATTGCTACCTACATCACTTTGCAATTGTTACAGTAGAACAAAGTAGATCAGTAAATCTCGTGTTTTGAGCAAGTGCTACGTGGTATGACCAATAAAGATCTTTTGTGAAAGGTACTTTGTTGAAGACCTTGACCATTTTTGATATAAATGTGCATGGGGGGATCACTTTTTTCTTTTGCTTGCTGTAGAAGATAATTCCAATCAAAACTTGAGAAAGCGTCCAAAAATGTCTTCTTTTTGTTTTTTACTGATAGCTTACTTAGTCTCTTTTTTTTTGCAGGATTTTCCAACCGGTAATAAACATCGGGGTTGTATCTATTTAGATTATCTATACCGCTTGTACACATTCAATAGATCAAAATTTATCTTAATAATTGTATTTCTTACTTTAAAATTGTCGTTGTAACAAAAAGAAAATTTGCAAATATCGCTTTTTGTCTTTGGTAAATTCTAAATTATAAAGAAATGGTTAGCATGATCTATAAATGCGGTATAAGAACAGCGCCACACCGCCTTAAACAACTTATAAAAGTACACCTTTCTTTTTGCTCTATTACGGAACACGGTTAATCCTTTCGTACACAGCATAAGGAAACTGTTTAGAAGAGGTATTGGTATTGATAAAAATAATCAATTTTTTACATAACGAGGCTTAGTACACAGATAATCCGTTCTGCCTAACATTTTCTTAATGTTTCAGCACCCTCCAAAAAACCTGTAAAGTATGCTTCCGAAACATGTTTAGCGAAGAGGTCACAGAGTCAAACAGTTTTTATTTACAAGCAAAACTACAGCAGTCATCCAGCTTTAAATAATTTTTGAAGCTCTAATTCTCTTAGAAATGTAAATTTTTGGTCAGTATACATAGATACATAAACAAAGTTTAGAAATGACAAATGTACCTGAAAATTCTGCTTATTCCCAACTTTATCGAAATTAAAGCATTTGAAATCAAATTACTTACAAACACGATATTAAGTCGAAAAAAAAAAATTGGTGTCACCCCTAAATTTATTGGTAACAAATTCTTCCTTTCAATTACTTTTTGGCTGTTACATTTATCAGTGAAGACGGTTGAAGCTGATAATTAATGTGATTTATGTTTTAAAAAATTTTATACAGTTTATTCAAAATCTACTCTACTTACTCCCTACACTGTTCCAGTAAGATAAACTGTTTTTCCACTACAGTTAATGAGTTTTTCCAAGCTGCTCGGCTAAGACGTAATGCAGAACTATAAAAAACTTCCAAGGAGAAAAACATTGACTCACTATTATCTTGAAGAATATTCTTGAAAGACTTTTTTTTTTCTTTTGAGATTAACAAATTTTTTTTTTCTGCACAAGTTAATTTTGTTAATATTTGACATAACTGTAAACTTTGAACGGTATCTAGTCTGACTACAAATGTTTTCATTTTTTGATCTAGTAATGTTGTTCTGTTGTTATTGATTTATTGAAAAAAAAAACTATTGAAAAGTTCAATGGCAGATTAAAAAAACTTTTTTGAACTATATTTTAAGCTGTGATAGTCTTTTTAAAATTTTAACTACAACTTTTTGGTTTTGTTCTGTATTATTCGATTTTGTATTCTGTTTAAAGTTGACATTATTAGTAATCCACGTGTCGACTGTTAAAGATGCCAGGTTTCTTATTTTGCCTTTTCTTAATCTTTTTTTTTTCTTTTCTTTTGTGTTTACTAATTTTATAGCAGTATCTTTAGCTGGATTATGCTGAGTATATATTTGAAAAAGGTTAGATAAAAAACCATTAATAAAGCCTATTACCAAATTTGCTTGCTGTATTGCAGTATAAACAATCATAAATTCTTATTTATTTCTACTTTTTCTAATACTGTATGAAACAAGCAGCAAAGTATAGTTGAAAAATTATCTTGATTATTCTTTGTTAACCTGAACATATCCATCTTACGTTCACAATTTGTAATATTGGGTCTTGTCTTTCTTTCTTTTTTTTTTCTCTCTTTTTTCTTTGAAGTTAAAATTTCGTGGATTTTTAGATGTTGCTTTTCTATTTGCTTTCATTACTTGCAATAATAACTGAACGATCAAACGAAGAAAACTTGATTTTAGTGCAAACAGTAAGTGAATTCTGATGATTTACTTTGTTCTGCTAATTATCTTGTAAAGACATACGCAGCTTTATAAGCTTTGTACTTTCTCTTGTTTTTGATTAAACCCTAGAAAACAAGCCTTGTAACTTGTCGAAAGCGGTTTTTGTTAAATAGAGAACAAGGCGTCGTAAAAAAATTACTTGAATAATTGGATTTAGGTTTGGCGACATGGCGATCGTACACCAACGTATACCTGCAAGGGTGATAACAACAGTGAAGAAATGTGGGAGCGGTTTGGAGGTTTTGGACAACTTACACCAGTAATATTGTTCTGATAAATAACTACTTTTTTTTGTTTTGTTTTAGAGATTTTGTTATCTTTTTCTCTCTTTTTTTTACTAAACTGTTAAAATAAAGTTAGAGGATCAAAAATTGTTGCATATAAATGCTTTTTTTTAACAACTATAGACAACTACTTTAACAACTTTGACAACAAGACATTTTGTAAAGCTAATTTCTCACCTGATATTTTGTGTGTTTAAAAATTTACAACTACGTTTTCCGTGGAAACTTTTGCTAATACGCTGTAATAATTATTGTTCAGAAACTAAAATTTATTACATTACTTTTTTTTTACTACTAGTGGCTAAAAAAGTTATTAGGACTGCCTGAATGATTTGTTGATTGTAGACCGGAATGAGACAACATGTTAAACTTGGCGAATTATTTTTTGATCGATATGTTGATGAGCTGAAATTTTTAAATGCTAAATATAACTCTAAAGAGGTCAGTTTTATACTTCTATTTCTATCGTTCACTCACAGTTTTTCCTAAAATTTTAGTGGTATCGACGGTATCCACACGTCGTAGCCGCAGCACTTGTCCACTTTTCTAGCAGCACAATATTAGACGGTTGACTACGCATCTAACCTTTTTTTTTTTTAGATCTATGTACGTTCTACTGACCTGAATCGAACTTTACTTAGCGCAGTGTCTAATATGATTGGCATGTATTATAACCGTAGTAATGCAGTGGCTGATAATGACTATCCGACTAATGACCGTTGGCCAGGAGCTTTTGTACCAATTGCAGTTCACACAGTTGACGATTTTACTGACTATGTCGGTTT